GGGAGAGGAGGAGAGGGGGACAGGGGGACAGGAAAGAGGGGGACAGGGGGACAGTGGGGACAGGCGGACAGGGGAACAGGGGGAGAGGGGACAGGAGGACAGGGGGACAGTGGGGACGGGGAGAGGGGGACAGGGGGACAGGAGAACAGGGGGACAGTGGGAACAAGGGAACAGGGGGAGAGGGGGACAGGAGGAGAGGGCAACAAGGGGACAGGAGGACAGGGAGACAGTGGGGACAGGAGGACAGGGGGAGAGGGGGACAGGAGGACAGGGGGAGAGGGGGACAGGAGGACAGGGGAGAGGGGGACAGGAGGACAGGGGAGAGGGGGACAGGAGGACAGGGGGACAGGAGGACAGGGGGACAGGAGGACAGGAGGAAAGGGGGACAGTGGGGACAGGAGAAGAGGGGGACAGGGGGACAGGAGAGGGGGACAGGGGGAGAGGGGAACAGTGGGAACAAGAGGACAGGGGGACGGTGGGGCCAGAAGGACAGGGGGATAGGAGGACAGGGGGACAGGAGGAGAGGAAGACAGGAGGACAGGGGGACAGGAGGACGGGGGACAGGAGGACAGGGGGACAGTGGGGACAGGAGAAGAGAGGAAACGGGGACAGGAGGGACAGGAAGTGGGGACAGGAGGGACAGGAGGAGAGGGGTGACAGGAGGACAAGAGGGGACATTGGGGAGTGAGGCCAGAGGCTCCTCCATCCCATGGGTGGGAAACCAGGCTCTCCAAAAGACCCCCTCTCCCCTCTCCTTCTGTCCCCCGTCCTCCTGAACCCCGTCCTCCTGCCCCCCCCCCCCGTTTCCTGCCATCCTTCCTGGCGTCCCCAGTGCCAGCTTCCTGGTCCCTCCGGCTGGAAACCTTCCCTATCTAATGATTTTCAGGCTGAAGTTTCTGTTTCCATTTCTCACCCAAACAGCGCTATCAGGCACCTGGGTGACACCCAGGGACGGGTGTGCTCAGGGTGTGCTCAGGGTGTGCCCAGACACCCTGCTCGGCCTCAGCGGTCACTGTCCGCTGGAAAGAGCGGAACTGCAGAAGGCCACAGTGACTCCTGAGAGGGTCCCCGGGCCCCACCTGTCACACTCGCCCTCCATTCACACCTTAACCAGACAGCGGGGGGCACCCGGGGACATGTCCTCCCGGGTCCCCCTGCTGCAGGGCGTGGGGATAAAGATGGAGCAGGGACAGAGGGGACAGCAGGAGCCCAGGGGGCAGGGGCAGAGGTCGTAGGACCAGGACCCGCTGCTCGGTCCTCCTGTGGGTCCCCAGTGCGGGGCCGACCCACGGGGACGCTGACGCTGTCACCTCCCCAAGACACGGGGGTGGGGGTGGGACTCGCTCAGCTGAGGGGCTGGGTGGGAGGGGGAGCAGGAGAAACAGGGGCGGAGGAGGGAGGAGGAACTAAAGAAGGAGGGAGGAGGGAGAGCGGGGAGGAGGGAGGAGGACTGCGATCCGGATGCACAGTGGATAGTAAATCAACTGCAGCCTCGATGACCCCTCACGCGCGGGACCCGTCACCTCTTCCGGCGCGAGCGGCCGAGGAGCACGGCCAGGACCACGGCGAGCAGGAGCAGCGCGGCCAGCGCGGCGCCCACCAGCCCGAACACCAGCCTCTTGCTCGTCCTGGACTCGCAGGCGTCTCCCCAGTACCAGTGCGTGTCCGTGTTCGGGCACCTGCGGGCACACGAGGCAGGTCACCCGAGGGGCGGCCCCACGCCCGAGGGGCCTCCCGGGTGGGAGTCCAGCCCCGGTGTGCGCGGTGCCCCCCTCCCCGTGCGCGCCCTCCCCGGTGCCCCCCTCCCCGTGCGCGCCCTCCCCGTGCCCGCCCTCCCCGTGCGCGCCCTCCCCGTGCCGTCCTGTGGCCTCGGCGCGCGGACACTCACACGCAGCGCGCGCCCGAGCGCTGCAGCTGGCACTGGCCCCCGTGGCAGTCGAGCCGCGACTTGGCGTCCGGCGCGCAGGGGCTCGCGCACATCAGCCTCCCCTCCCGCATCTCGGGCCGGAAGAACTGGCCGAAGCCCCGGGCGGCCTTCCGGAAGCAGAACTCTGCGGGCGAGGGCGGCAGCTAGCACCCCGCAGCCTCCGCGCCCCCTGCCGGGCCCCCACCCCGGCCCGGGCAGCTCACCGGCAGCGTCGAAGCTGAGGGTTCGGGTCCCCACGCTGGTGAAGTTTCCGTTGTAGCACAGCAAGGAGGCTGCCAGGGCGGAAAGGCACGAACCCTTCTCCGTCAGACTCCGCCCTCCTCCCTCCAGGCCCCGCCCTCCCCCAGGCCCCGCCCTCCTCCCCCCAGGACCCCCCGCGGAGCCCGGGCGGGCTTCAGTCGCGGCTTGGCCCTGCCGCAGCCCCCTGGGGCGCCGCGGGGAGAGGGCGCGGCCGGGCTCGCGCGCTCACTCTGGCACAGGAAGGGGTCGCCGTCCGCCCGGGCCGTCTCGGCCCTGATCTTGGCTTCCACGACCCGCGAGAGGTTCGCGAACAGCGCCTCGTACTCCGCCGTGGCGCGCGCCTGCAGGACCACGTCGCTCTCCACCGCGATGCTGCCGCGGCTGCGGGGCGTCAGCGCGTCAGCGCCCGCCCGGCCGCCCCCGGCCCGCCGCACGCGCCCTCGCTCGAGCCCTTCCGCGGGGCACAGGTGAGGGTCAGGGGAGCACAGGTGAGGGTCAGGTGAGCACAGGTGAGCACAGGTGAGGGTCAGGGGAGCTCAGGTGAGGGTCAGGTGAGCACAGGTGAGCACAGGTGAGGGTCAGGTGAGCACAGGTGAGGACAGGGGGGGACAGGGGGGCACAGGTGAGCACAAGTGAGCACAGGGGAGCTCAGGGGAGCACAGGGGAGGGTCAGGCGCAGGGCTGCAGTCCGGGCCCAGCCTAAGCTCCGGTGGGAAGCAGCAGAGCCGGGCGCCCCCAGCACTCACAGCAGCTGTCTAATGATCACCCTTTTGTACTCGCGAAGGTCGTCTCCCGAGAAAACTTTATCCATCTGAAAAACACGGGGGACACGGAGCCGCGTGGGCGCCCTGCCTGGGCCGGGGCGTGTCTGGGGCGGGGCGTGGGCGGGGCGGGGCGTGTCGGGGCGGGCGTCTACCTGGCTCCCGAAGAGCTGGGAGAAGTTCCTGTAGGCCGCGGACTCGGGGTCCCGCAGCTCGGGCGTGAAGTTCCGGTGCACCACCTTCACGACCATGGCCAGCGTGGCGTTGATCACGTCCGGGATGTCTGCAGAGGAGAGAGCGCGTGAGGCCGTGACGGAGGTGACGGAAGCGAGCAGGAAGCAGGAGGGACCCCCGAGTAGGCGAGGGGGCTGGGGCGCACGTGCGCGCGCGCGTTCCTACGTGTGCATGTTCGTGTGTGTTCCTACGTGTGCATGTTCGTGTGTGTGTTCCTACCTGTGCATGTTCGTGTGTGTGTTCCTACGTGTGCATGTTCCTGTGTGTTCCTACGTGTGCATGTTCGTGTGTGTGTTCCTACATGTGCATGTTCCTGTGTGTTCCTACGTGTGCATGTTCCTGTGTGTTCCTACGTGTGCATGTTCCTGTGTGTGTGCCTACGTGTGCATGTTCCTGTGTGTGTTCCTACGTGTGCATGTTCCTGTGTGTTCCTACGTGTGCATGTTCCTGTGTGTTCCTACGTGTGCATGTTCCTGTGTGTTCCTACGTGTGCATGTTCCTGTGCTCATACATGTGCATGTTCCTGTGTGTTCCTACGTGTGCATGTTCCTGTGTGTGTTCCTACGTGTGCATGTTCCTGTGTGTTCATATGTGTGCATGTTCGTGTGCTCATACGTGTGCATGTTCCTGTGTGTTCATACATGTGCATGTTCCTGTGTGTGTTCCTACGTGTGCATGTTCCTGTGTGTTCCTACGTGTGCATGTTCGTGTGTGTGTTCATGTGTGCATGTTCCTGTGTGTTCATACGTGTAGCATGTTCCTGTGTGTGTTCCTACGTGTGCATGTTCCTGTGTGTTCATGTGTGCATGTTCGTGTGTGTTCGTACGTGTGCATGTTCCTGTGTGTTCGTACGTGTGCATGTTCCTGTGTGCTCACGTGAGTGACGACACACGAGTGTGGTCCTCGTGTCTCACTGTTGAAGATGTGCTCCCCCACTGCGCGGGGCGCTCAGGCTGCTGGCCTGGAGCCCACTGCGCGGGGCTCGGCGGAGGTCAGGGCGCACGGCTCCGGCCCGGGGCTGAGTGTGAGCTCCTCATGCTAACGCCGGGGTGTGAGCTGAGCGGACCCGGGGCGGCAGGGCCCGGGGGGGCA